GCACTCGTCCTGCATCTCCAAATAAACCAGACACGGAAAAGACTCCCTCACTTTGGCACGTGTAATTCTCATAGTTTCCTATGCTGGCTGCCTGTATCACTGATGCTACTCCCAATTTGACACTGCTGAAGCCGCACCTCGGTCGTCGTGCCCCCAGGTCCCTGAGACGAGACATCATGGAGCGTTCTCGTGGCGCAAATGAAAATGCTGTACGAAGTATTTTGGCGGTGCCTGGAATGTCGGAAACTGCATGCATAGAACGTGAGAATCACATTCATCTTACTCTACGTACCAATCAGACACGACTTGTCAATAAGGTTCCATTACAAATCCAAATACAGAGGAGATCGGAACACACCCACAGGAGTCGATGTTGATAGGTCAACAAAATGAGTATGATGGATTCAGGCCTTAGGTCCAGAGCCGACCCGCCAAACTTGTTGCGGCCCAGTCCAATCAAAGCATACCCAACCTAGTGAGAAGATCTAGCACAACCTATGCGATTGGTCTTGCAGCTTCCAACCGCCACAAAAAAATTAAGCCACCCTCATCCAAGTGGTGATTTCATTGTTGCGAATCCGTGTGATTGATATTCAATAGTGTTTCTTTTTCCGGCTGACAGTTTCTGCAATTATGGCCCCTCTCTGTCTAAAAGAACTACCAGCGTGCGGGGCTCGTTTCTGCTCTCACTCTCACTCTCACTCTCACTCTCACTCTCACTCTCACTCTCACTCTCACTCTCACTCTCTCTCTCTCTCTCTCTCTCGCTCTCCGCGTCTCCCGCGCGTATGCTATCTGCATGCACCTATCATCCCATCTGTAACGGTGTCAACCTCATGAATTCTGCAGCCTGTCTGATCCAAGACTCTGACGTGCATCGATCGGTCGGTGTGGCATGGCCTGGACAATCCATGATGCTACCGTGAAACATGCATCGTCGATCACGAGCGCGGACTGCAGTTGAGACAAAAGTGACCGGACTAGGGCGAATAAACCTGATTCTCTGAGCTTGTGGAATATGTCACAAACCCGAAGTACATGTAGCTAGTTAGATTGAACAGTAGGTTGAACCCGCGACAACCAATGAAGGCCAATGCGACGCTCAAGAGTACGTAACCTTAACCCTCAGGCCCTTGACAGCGACAGCTTGGCTTACTGCCGTAGAGCATTGAGAATTCTGCACCACCCCGGTTCTGCCAGAGATCTGAATGGACCCGGGAAGATGCGATGCATTCTTTGGGAACCGGATAGAAAGCATCTCCCCACATGAGGGAAGGCGGAGGCCATAGCACTCCACGGAGCCGCTGCTGCTACTGCTACTACAACTGCCTCTACTACTTCATGCGCCCGCGTAGCTGTCTCTGTCTCTTTCTCTCTATTGATGCATTTGTTTGTTCACCTGCCGAGCCTGTTCATATGCCTCTGACTCCCCAACCATAAGGACCGGAGCCCGAAGGCCCAGACGCCAAGACTGAAAGCCACGTGCAGTACACCATATTATGGGCAGGTTTAAGTTAAGGACTTGGGCTTCGAGGTTCACGGCTTCGGGACGAGGTTTGGGATTAAAGCTTCTGGGGTGTACGATGAAGGGAAGTGAGTGATTCAATCAAGGAGCTTTGTCCCTCAGGTCGAACCACAAGTCATCCTCCTGTTGCGGGTCAACAATCGCTCGACACAGTAGAGCCACGCACATTCAGATTTAGCATTCCTTAATTAGCGTTTAGTGTACGTACACGTGTTCAACCCTCAACCTTCAGGCTTTCGTGACTTCCGTACACCCCTAAATCCTACCGGGGTATGTCAGCTTTAGCGTCCGGGGGAGTAAGATGGCTTACAGGTTGGCATTGAGGATATACCGGTTTCAGGTTACAAGATTTAGTGTCTAGGCGGCATTCGAGATTGTGAGTTTAGCTTTGGAGCTTAAGAAGTCGGGTTTGGCGCTCACACTCGGACAATCCAGGCGAGGCATGTGGTTCGAGGTCGGGTTTAAGGTCTACGGATCTTGGTTGAAGATACAGGGCTTTGTTTGTGCTTAGGCGTGTTTGCGTTGAGTCCGGAATCATACGGAAACCCTTGCGAAGTAGCCTCTTAGTCTTTAAGTACCAAAGAAATTGTACCTATTTATGCGGCACGGTTGTAAAAATGCGACCGAAGCTCGGAAGAGGAATTAAGTGCAGTATCCCAGACAATACAACCCCTTTCGGACCTCGCACTCAAAAACGAGGAATTTCCTGAGGACTCCACACTGTATACTACTCTGGTTTCACTCCCCGTTCTTATAGTTGCTATGTCATGTCAACCACGAAGGAGACTCTGGATGCTGCTGCTGCTGCTGCTGCTGCTGCTGCTGCCGGTGCTAGTCTTTTTATCCGTCTTCCTCCTGTTTTATGACTTGTTAAAAACCTTCTGCTTAATGCTGCTGCATATTGAACGTGTAAGTACATCTGGTATAATGGTTCATGGCCTGTGCGGTTCTTACGACACAGTGCCACTGTCTCCTGCACCACGTCCAGGCCCAGCAGCCCAGGATTCTGGTCCTGCGACTGGGGCAGTGGAAGCTGTTGTTCAATATGGCATCGTGAGTTTTTCATAGGTCTTATGAGTTGTATGTATATATATATATATATATGCTGCTGCTGCTGCTGCTGCTGCTGCTGCTGCTGCTGCGGAATTACTACACTGCGCCGACGACGACGGCGATGACGACCACAGCGGCTGCGAGTACGACGATGGCACGACCACGGAGACGGCGGCAACAAGGAACATCACGAGTATCTTTTGTTGGTATGGTCGGGACCACGCCTGTAATCCCAACGCTTGTGAGTGGTGTGATTGTGCGATTAATGCTTCGACCTCGGCTTCATTTGCAACAAGCTTTAAGCCCTGAACCGCCTCCACATGGATCTGTGGGTAGGCTGCTGCTGTACCATAGCACGGCAAGTCGACCCACTGGAAAACCTGGGCTTCGCTAATCTTACCTTTCAAAGCCCAAAGCCCCAACCGTAACTATTTGCGACTGCTAAACCCTACATGAAGCTCAAGCCCGAACTCATCCATTGTTGGGCTGGGCGGTTTAGGACTTGGGGCCACGAGTTTAGGCTGTGAGGTTTCGGGCCACACTTTCCAAATCTAGCCCTCAAAACGTCCGAACATCTACCTTAAACGGTTAAGCCCAACGTCGCACTGCAACCCTAAAGTCAAAACCCAACCAACTGCTCACCCACCCATGTAATGCTCATGCTAGTGCTGGATCGGAACTCTTGAATTACAAACATGATGTAACCAAGCTTGATGCTGATCGGCTGCCGAACTTGGATGCTGGAATTCCGTTTGCACTCACCAAACCACTACCAGCACCACCACAAGTACACGTACTGGCACCACCCCTTCATACACCTAAACCTAAACCAAATGCAACACCCTTATATATATAAATATAAATATAAATACAAATATAAATATAAATATAAATATAAATATATATATATATATATATATGTATAAATATAAAAGTATGTGTATATATATATATGTCATTGGGGCTGTGAATTTTGGTTTTGGGTTTCGCAATACAAAGCTGAACCCGAAACCCATCTGTTTTACCCAAGCTCTCAATGAAACCTATATAAGAACCCATACATTCCTTCGTCCGAAACCCGGTTTCATGAACCCGAGATAATCGACCCACTTCAGAATGATTACAACTTAAACCCTTGCCGAATAAACGCCCTTCAAACAACCCCTACTCCTCGCCTTTTTCAGGGAGAGACTACTCTACTCGCTTGCCCTCGGTGTCGCCCTCAAACGTCTGTTAACCTCCAGCCCAAAATCTCATCATCGCCACTTAGCTCCCTTGAACCTCAAACAACCCCAAACAGCCCTAAACCTAACTGTCCCTTAGGTGGCCGCAGCTGTCACACGGATGAAACCTTAACCCAGCTATCTTTCTCTGCATTAAACCGTGTTTCATCCGCTGACCCGCAGACCTTTGAGCCTGCATCATCATTATCCTCGCCCGCCAATGTGGAAAGGGGTGCTCGTGCTCTGCTTGGGCCACATAGCAGCAGAAATCACATAAAGGAACGAGATGCGCGACTGACACTTGCAACAACCTTCAAGCAGCACAGCGAGCCATTTTGATCCGGCACGACCACATGGGCTCAAAGGACGCGGGCTCACGTCTTTGGTGCCTGGAGCCGGCAGAAAGCATGCTGTTTGGTGGTTCTGACAGCTGGAATCTCTTGCCACTCGGTTTGCCACATAGGGAATCCAATGCCAAAAGTGGCTGGTACATTCAGCAGCGATGCGTTGAAGACCAAAACTAAGCTCCCTGCACCGCGAGCTCGATGAGCTGAAGGTCATCATTGCCAATCCTGCAGCAAGCACTTTCACACAACATGTCAAGACCCTGCAGCTCTTTTTGCCGAGGAATCTCCTCCGCGTCCAGCGCCTCATCCAGAGTCTGATACCTTGTAGGTTGGGCTGCTGCATCCGAACCCACAGAACTGCGTGCTTGCAGAATGGCGGATTGTGCTATATAAGTCTTATAATGCCCCGAACCTGTTACGTAATCACATTCGCAAAAAAATAAGTCTCCTTTCGCGAACACATTGCCTTGCATCTTAAACCCGCTTTTATAACTCAGGATACCGACCTTCAGATCAGCCAGGGCCCAAGCCAGAACGGGGTGTTGATGGCAATGAGCTGCTGCGGGCCAGTCTGGCAGTGCAGATCTTCAACCTTGCATCCTCACTAAACCACCTAAACCTTCTCCAAAAACCTGGAAAGCTAGGCCGACAAGCACTGAAGCCCTAACACTAAGCTTCACTAAACCCCGACCCGGCACCTCCGGCCCGACCGTGCCGGTCTTGAAGTGCGGACGCATGTAGTACTCCATCCAGTGCTTACTGGGAAAGCTGCCCGGGACCATGTCGAACATTGGAGTCGCATCGCGGCCGGCCCATGCCAAGATGGCGTTGCGCTGCTCCGGATAGTGCTGCAGGAAGTCCGTCAGGTCGTAGACGTCGCCGAAGAGCGCGATCCAGCAGTCGTTTGGATGGTTGTGCAATGCCAACTCTGACAAGGGGATGTCGCAGCTCGTCCAGTCCATGGGAACGTTGTGCTTGTGTGCATGGTCCTGCAGGTGCAGGCAGAAACCCCTGAACGGCACACCCACACCCAGCAACTTGGGTCCCACACTGTTTTGCAGTTTAATCGCCACTCCAAGAAAACCGACGGCGCAACAGAAGTGCAAACACCAATACATCGAAATGATCCTATGACATTATGATCCCGGCAGGTACAACAGGGGTCGGAACAAATCGTGATCGTATGTCCTCTCATTGTCCTTACATGAATATACATGAACCCCCACCCCCCAAATCCTGACAATGCTGTTAGGATTATCCAGGCCCTCAACCCTAAACCGCCAATACCCTAATGAAGAATAATTCGTAGATCCTGAAGCCTGCAAAGTGTATCGTTTTCCTCAGGCCCGTTCCTAAAGCCTTGTTTTAGGGTTGGGGCTTCATTTTTTCTCATTTTTAGAAGGTGTTTCGGACGGTGCTACCAGGAACCAATGCAGATGCGTAGTCAGAATAGGGTTTCACAGTGTACATTGTACTCCAAGTGTCTTGGAAGCTATACGGCTATATTAGCACTAATGGTTTCAGACCTCGTCATTCACCCCAAAACCCTGCTAACCTCTCATCCCAAAGTCTTGCAGAGCCTAACCTCCAGCAGACACAAGCAAAGCTGCAGCTTTTACGGAAGTGCCTGCCGAGCGTTGTGCTCCTGGAGAGGTAGGATTTACAGACCCTACGAAATCGTAGGTTGTGACCCCTTAGTTATTGCATAGGGTATTATAGTATAACCCTTAAAACAAACGGTTTCTGAATCCCCAGGTGGGACTTGGGACTTTGGGGTTAAGGTGTCTGAGGGTTTCAGATTGCCGGTTTCACGACACAGGTTTCGGCTTAGGGTTTAGGGTTTCGGCGCTCACGCTCAGCAGGGTTTAGGGTATAGGGTTTAGGGAGCTTGGTTGCCGGATTTGCGGCTTAAGCTTTTTACAAAGCTATTGGGATTTTGAGGCTCTGGGCTTTCTAAGTTCTAAACTTGTAGCTTACACGGTAGCAATGATCATGGAATTCAGGCACGACTCGCACATGCTGCAGGTGATAAAACTAAGGCCGGATGCGATAAATAAATCCCTACATCTTGGCACCCTAAACTGCCTCCTTTCAAGCACGAGGCATAGCCAGGCACAGCCTAACTGCACCTTGAACACTGAACCCTCAACTTAAACCCCAAGCACATACGCCCTAAACCCTAACCTTCGACCGGCCCTTAAAACCTTCAGGACTGGAAACCTTCGAGCCGAGGAGAAGTCAGGTTGCGGTTTTCGGGTATGCTATAGCAAACCACGGTAAGCCCATGTAGGGCTAGCAATAGATGATAGATAGGGTTTCAGGGCATGTTACGGTAACCAAAACTGTTCACCCATCTATGTATGTAAGTTATGTATGTTTCTATCAATGTATCTATCTATATTATTTCTTAAAGCCCAGGCTCTCATTCCGCATCCGCTGGGAATCAGCAACACCTATCTACATATGCATCGATCTATTTGTCTTTCTATATATCTATATTTCTATCTATCGGTTTATCGATCTATTTACTTCTCTGTATATATGTAAATAAGTAAACAACTATATATATATATATAATGTGTGTGAGAATATATGCAGGTATACATTTATATATACACGGACCATGAGGGGGGTTATTGCTGCTAATAGAGCAGGATCCCCAATCCACTCCGCACCCTCTTGCGCATGAAGCTGTGGAGGTTAGGGCTTAGGCCTGCGCGGCTGAGCACTGACAGAAGGCTTCCTCCCTGTTGTAATGTGGAACTGCCAATTAGTTGATTAGGGCTTCGGGGAAGGCTATAAAACCATAAATCTACTATTGAAATGCTATCTCTCTCTCTCTCTATATATATATATATACATATATATATATAGAGAGAGAGAGATAGCATACAGAAGCAGAAATAAACTTCTCGTTCGGTACTATATGGAGCTTTTCAATAGACCCTAGAGCCCCTCAATTAGAAAAGGACCTCTAACATGGTTTGACCGGCTTACGCGAAGCACTTGACTATCTCCACGAGAGGTTCATACAGCCGTGCGAAAAAACCCTTTGAAGCCACCTAGATATCCTAAGAATCCCGAATCCTAAACCTCAAACCATTTTAAAACCATGACACCGGAGCAGGCGTGAGGGTCTGGCTACGAGCTCAAAGACAGGGTTTCGGCCCGAACCGATCCACCGAATCTGATTAGGAGGCCGGATTCCAAAAGCCCTCCCCTTCCCGTTCCCAGTCGTCCCGGCCGCTGCTGACAAGCGGGTGACTCACCTAAACTAAGGTGAAAGTAGGATCCCGAACTTTGCCATAAACCTATGACTAGCCGATTCTGGAGTCACCAGCTGCCCCGCTGACCTTTGGTCCTTCAAAGTCCTGCCATCTGCGAGGAGGGTTGGCCTTGGCGAGATTCCGCCATGCTGCTAAGTTTCCATCGGACCCAAAAAGGTAGGCTGGTTTTGGCTAGTTGACAGGACCTACACTCTCACACTCAGAAGTGCCAATTGAGGTAGGTCTCTATGGCAGATACATGACACCTCCAGTCACATCCTCAGAATTGACCACTGAGCGAAACCAGCCTCCGTCATGACTAGCCTTAAAATGATCTCTCGGACTCTGCTGAGAGCTTTGGGATCATGCCACCCAACGATGGGGATTCTATTTCATGGGAGTCGGAACTCGAAGTTGCGCGTTGTGTTAAAGCAATCCTGGAGCGGGCTGCAGAACAACGACTTCTGTCCGCTTCAAGGGGCGCTGTGTAGAGCTCCATGCCAATGTTTGGGGGAGGGTCGCATCTGGTGGATTTGACTACTGATCTCTGGACTGCTGTGCATGTCAACCTGCCTAAAGCTGCATATATCCAAAGGGTCCGGTTGACAGCTCCGAACACCAAGCCGTCATCCACATCAAACCCAACGCATCACACCAAAAATCGCTCCGCATTGAACCCCCGCCCTCCCCCCTTTCCATTCCCGGCCGGCCGCTGCTGACAAGCAGGCGACTCTAATTGCTTGTGTAACTCAATCATGGAGTCACCTACAATACGCTTGAACCTCCTCCTTCCCCTGGAACGCAAGGCCCAGGCAGTGGACCTCTAAGAGAGCTGGTGCCCTGGCACTCTCACATTTGGATCGGCAGAACTTGGGGTTCTTGCAGCACGGGGGCTCCAGGGCTGATTAGCAATGCGACTCGCATACGCGCGTAGACTGATCCACTTTCATTAGATAGTACCTCAGGGCAATTTGCGAATCTGGCTTCTATTTGCAAATCGGAATTGAAATTGAAACTAAAGGAGGTTTGTTGGATACTCTTGCTACTGCTACCACTACTCTCTAATACTGAATACGCGGTATTGGCTGTAGCAGGAGGATGAATAGCCAGGGCTTCAATCTTGGACTCTAACTGAAGCTGAAGCCATAATCCGGGGTTGAGGTGTTGGTTGAAGTTTCAAGGCTTAAGGGTGCAAGGATCTTGGGTTCAGGGTTTCATTAAGGGCTTACGGGCCAAGCCCTGTACATAGAGGTTAACGCCCCCAGAGTTCCAAAAGCACTGAAGCTACTAGTCCTTGACTAATTATGAGTAATTAGTTGGCGACATGTCTCGATTCATGTCTCGTGTTCACGTGGGAAGTGCGGCTAATTGAAACCCCACAATGCAAAAGACCCGACGCCCAAATATTCTCCCAGTATGAAGTGTCATCGGGCCCGAGAGTGACCAATTCAAAAAAAACAAACACGCTGACCGTTTATTGCTTGGGGGGATGCTCCCAGCTCCAACGTCAGATACAACACAATTGGCATCCTCGTCCTTCGCAGCATCACGTCGGGGTCGGTTGGCCGGCTTGCCCTGTTTCAGAGGCTCAAGACTTTAAAATATTTCAGAGTAGGAAACCAGGGCAGTGAGGGGTCTAAGACCCGGGGCTCATTGCGGTTGCGTAGCATCATGCTGCTTCTTTCGGGAACTCTGGGTTCCGTTCGGGCGCTTTGGGTGGGTGACACAAGGGCATCTTCATGGTTGAGAAGGCCTTGAAAACGCGGCGTTTCTATGATTCTCCCGGGTGCCCCACACTATGTCCTACTCCCCAGCCATTGAGCTGAAACCTCTCAGCCTAAGCTACGAATCGCCAAGCGTTTAAGTCTGCCTCAATGCGGCCACAACAAAATGCAGTGCAAGAGCTCACCGAACCTGCCGAGGTCCCACGTGCCTTGCGCTGCTCCCGGTCCCATTTCCAGCCGCGGCGGTATCGTGCCCGGTAGTAGGCAGGGGGGCACCACCAGTCCCACCAGTCCTGCTAGCAACAGTCAGCAAGTCTCAGAGGATACGACACTTCGGACTTCCATGCTCAGCTGGATCCAGGCGCTAGCTGTTGCAGGATACCAGTGTAAACAGCTCCGGCAGCAAACAAGCAACGGCTGTCAGACCTTCAACTTCAATGCCCGACATTGGCAACTGTGCGCTTGTAAACTCAATCCTGCACGATCCCATGTTGACATCGGAATATACTTTTAGAGCGACACCAGAGCACGCCCCAGGGCACGCTTTGTATGCCATAGATTCTTGCTGATTCGGTTCCAAGTCTTGTGCTCGCAAGCCCTGGAACCCAAAAGCGCTGAGGTCCAAGCGTCGCTGTAGGCATAGTAGCCATAGTAGGTCGACCTCAGCTCCCCTTTACCGGAAGGGGGGCCGAAGGCGATGAACCAGTCGAGTTGGAAGGAGTGACAAAACATCCGACGTTGGCCCAAACAGCAGGCACTGCTTCACTTCTACTCATCGAGCAAACCCAGAAACACGACAAGGACCGTGACTGAGTGCTGTCCTACAGGGATGCAAAGTGCGAACCTCGCCATCTGATGGAATCTTCTTGTCTGAGGTAGATGCCACCAGAGCCACCACATCCTGAAAATGCACTATAAGGACTACCGCGTGAGCTGGTGAGTCGTTGCTGCCTTGTTAAAGCCTGATTTTTGCAGAGACTCCAAATACAAACTCCTCATGAAGCGATACTCCTGAAGAACAAGTAGAACCCTTGATGAGGAACGCTTGTCTCAGGGATGGCGGGGTCTCTGATTCCGAAATTCGTCCAAGCTCTATGCAGTGCCTCGCTCCGCAGCGCTCGGAGGGAA